GATGACACAGTGCACAGGGGCTATGGGCGGAGCTGGCATGGTGCCCCGGGAGCTCAGGGACGGCCTGTGGGAGACACCGGATAAAAGGTGACCGGGTAAAGACTGAGTGTGGGTAATGACAGTTCAACTACGTCTTCTACATGAAGAGGTAATTATGTAGTTTGAGCCAAGTACAAGAAAAAAGAGTTCACAAAAGATGAAATGCAAATGACTATTAAACACATAAAAAAGCACAGGCAATCAGAAGCAATTTGAAATTAACAGCAACCTTAAATGACAAGACACCATTGTTTAACATGTGAAATTGGCCACGTTTTTCCCGCTCCTATTAATAACACAATATGGGCAAGAATGATGTCAAATGAAAGTTTTATTTCAAAAAAAAAATGGTACAATAGTCTTAGAGATTAGTACAGACTTATAGCCCAGAATATTAAATGAGTTCATGCATTTTGGCCTAGAAACTTGACTTCTCAGGATGTATCCTCAACAAATGGAATAATTTTTAATGTGTGCAGGAGCTGGGGAGATAGCTCAGCTCATAAACTGCTTGCCACACAAGCACAAGGACCTGAGTTTAATCCTTGGTACCTCGTAAAAATCTGGGTGTGGTAGAACTGACTGAAATCCCAGTGCTGGGAAGGCAGAGGCAGATGGTCCCCATGGCTTGCTAGTCAGCCTGTCCTAATTGGTAAACTCCAGAGTCCCTGAGAGACCCAGTGTCAGCAGACAACACCAAGAATTCCTGTGGCGTATACACACACACACACACACACACACACACACATACACACACACACACATACACACACACACATACACACACACACACACACAATTTTGTTCATTACAAATAATATACATTAATAACCAAATACTGATCTCTTAAAATCCTACATTAATATATTGTTTAAATTATGATCTTTTCATAGAATATGTTTTATTGCCATTAGGGTCACAATTTCAAAAAATTAATATAAGAAGGTATTTTTGAGTTTTCTTCATGTTAAGTGTAAAACACACTGATTAATATATAAGTGAGCTGAGTGTGTGGTTCTTTTTATACCTAAGAATCAAGCGTATTAGTTATAATCTTAGTGGAGGACAGATGTTTCTTATTTTCGTTTTATTAATATCTATTTTCCAAACTTCAGTGACTATGTATTCCCTTGTGGATAAGGAAAGCCAGTACATGTTTTGTAATTTGTTTTTCGCACAAGAAACTGTCTCTGAATGGAAAGAAGGGCTGTTGGCAGGGCTGGAGGAGACGGCAAGGGACAGGTGGCTTTGCTTGCTTTAGATTGGAAACACTGAGCGTGGTGTTACGTGGCCAGTGGTGGTGTTAATAGAGAGAAAGTGACAGACCGTATGGGAAGGAAGGAGGTAACTGGCTGACTCCCTGAGAGATACGAGGGAGTGAGAGCCGGAGCCGGTGTAGGGGTTAGCCTTCTGCGGAGAAGGGCTCCTCGTTAGCTCTGAGAAAAGGAAGAGAACCTGCAAAGGAATACTTGTACCCTGTGTGTGCTCACTACCCTAAACAGTGCCTGGCACAGAAGCAAGGCCGTGCGTGTCTCAGAGGCAGCGGAATGGAGGAACACCAGAAGTGCCGCCCGCTGACTCGGGTTTTCTCGGTTGTGCCAGGAAGCTGCAGTCTCCAGTAACGCTCCAGGCTTTCACCAGAGTGCACTCTCATTCTAGGAGACTATGTCCTCCCTGCCAAGCCTCCGGAGGGAGGAAGCTGGAGCTTACCGCTCCTCATCCACCAAGACACTACAGTGGCTGATATGTGGCCTGCAGAACCAAACAGAAAGGAAACATGAAAGTGGTTACTGTTGGACATAACTTATGCGGGTATCAGAGGGTGCTAAAGATCTACGTACCCTGAGGATGCATCTGGACGGAGAGCACACCTCTATGTAGGAAGACTCCAAGTGGAAACTTTGGGCACTGGGAAACTGATAATGGTCACGGATGCCTCCCTCGGCCTTAGCCCCTGCCCAACTCTCGCCACCACCACCACCACCCCGTTATGAACAAACTCAGGCTTCACAGATCTCCGAAGGGTCGAGGATAGGAACCCATAGCTCAGCTAACACTGGAGCAATGATCTTCTAACTCTCAAGACCTGGTTTTCCTAAGTATTGACTTCCTAAAATTTAATTCAACTCCATGCAGACATTTTAGTCTTCTGGCCTTGCATAGACCAATTGTATAAAATGCCTTGTAAACAGTTGACAGTAGGGTTATTATTTAGAGAATATCTTTCCCTGCTGAGAGTAAGAAAGGGCCTCAAGTTTTGGAATGCCTGAAGTCCCCTAGAAACAGCCTTGTGAAGCTGCATTTCAGAGCTCTGAAGCAGACCTCTGGCCCAAAGGGGAGGGTTGCATTTACCTCAGCACTACGTTTTTGCTTCAGAGTTGTCAGGTCGCCGTTACCCATGAAGGATGATGGTTTACACATGAGCAGAAGCTGGCGTGGATGAACTTACAGACCCATTACAGAAAACAAGAGGACTGGGTCAGAGCGTGAGCCTCACAGTTAGTTTTCACTGTTGACTTTTTGTTGTTGTTGTTTTTTTACAAAACAGAATTGCATCGACAAAATTGAAACCATAATCAGTGTTAAGCTGCAGCTCGTTGGAATTGTTGGTATCGGGATTGCGGGTCTCACGGTAAGAAAGCCCTAGAAATTTTTTCCCTGCCTTCTAAGAAGCTTTAGAACCTTACATCTTATTTCTCTTCACATTGGAGATGGCAGTATCTTAAGTGAGAATTCTCAAAATGGGGAAAAAAAAACCTTTGTTTCCAGCACATCTCCAAAGAACAGAGCTAATTACATGCATCAGAAGTAGTGCTGTAAAATATGATACAGATTCCAGTATCCACCTAATTATGACCTTGAATGTGTCATTGCAATAACTTCCCATGTAAGCCTGCCAGTCATAACCTCAGTAAGTGATTTCTGTCTCAGTAACATGATAGCAAGTTCGTCTCTGCATCTATGCCTTGAAGAAGCAATGGGCAAGCACTGGTATCACACGAACTGGATTCCCCTCCTGGCTCCATCACCTTCTGATAAGATGGAAGGAGAGTTTTTTAATTTCTCTAAGCTTCAATTTCTCTATTTGTAGTATGTGAATTTTAAACATATCATCTTTCCAAGAGGATTATGGTCAAAAGAGGTACTCCCAATAACCTGTTGTTACAAATTAGTTTACATAAAATCTGAATGTTTTGCATTGAACAAGTACCATTTTTCTGTATATTTTGACTCTGGGCAAATCCAGAATTCAGGCAAGGAGAATATCATTAGAAAAGGAATGAAGCATACTGTACCCAGCATCTGTTGGTGACTTAGCCCTTTAAAAGGGAGAGACCTTGTTCTGCTTTGTTTTTAAATGTGTGTTGGAAGAATTGGTAGCCCTGGGCAGGAGTAGTGAGAGAGGTAAGAGGAGCCTTCAGGTCACATGAAGGTTTTGTGTGCTCTTCTGAGAGGCTGGGCTTCAGGTGCCTTCAAGGCCGGAAGGACCTGTAGTGCAGAATGGATGAGGAATGTTTGGAGGGAGAGGTTAGATTGGAGTCAGAACCCAGTGAAGAGGTGGTTCCCATTGTCCAGAATTCAGGCAACGGAAGCTAACATTACAATAGAATTTGCTTACTAGTCTATGTGTAGATTAACTCACAGCCTACACAAAGGCAGGTCTACAAGGATGTTGAGGAAATCCATGAATTGGTAGTTCGTAGGGGAGACCCAAACACTTTTTCCCTTCTTTGCATCCAGAACACAGGGTGGGACAATGGCTCGAAATACTATTCTGAGGCACTGCAAATCTGGGGACAGTTCACAGGCCCTCCCCAACATGTTCTGGGGCTAACCACGTCGCAACTCCACAGTTCCCCAGTGATGGTCCTGAAGAAATGTCTTAGAATTACTGTCTGTGACAAAATACCATGACCAAAGCAGTTTGGGGAGGAAAGGGTTTATTTGCCTTACACTTCCACATCACTGTTCATCACTGAATGAACTCAGGACAGGAACACAAACAGGGCAGCATCCTGGAGGCAGGAGCTGATGCAGAAGCCATGGAGAGGTGCTGCTTCCTGGTTTGTTCCTCTTGGCTTGCTCAGTCTGCTTTCTTATAGAACCCAGCACCAGCCCATGGATAGCATTAACCACAATGAACTGGGCACTCCCCAATCAATCACTAATTAAGAAAATGCCCTACAAGATCTTATGAAGGCATTTTTTTTCTTAAAATTAAGGTTCCTCCTTTCAAATAACCCTAGCTTGTGTCAGGTTGACATAAAACTAGCCAGCACAAGTGGTTTGCACTCCACTTAATGGAGCTATCAAGTAGACAATTAGACAGTCTCAACAGAGGCAGACAGCCTGGACTCATGACCCCCACAGGCTGAGAGCGAAGGATCTCTCAAAGGGAGCCCCTCAGACTATAACTAGGATGAGGTGGCAGTCACACCCAAACTTGTAGCTGTGGAAAAGGGGAAATAGCCTTGCTTGTCTGTCTTGGATCAGGAGTTTCTTCCTGAGCTTTTCTTCCATAGGGAAAGACTGCACAGTGTAATCGCTTAACCAAACGCCCGTAAGGTGTCTCCCCGACTGCACACTGGCTCCGGGTCCTGTCAACCACAGGCCTGAAAGCTTTGCTAGCTGAACCCTTACCTTGGTCTGCCTTTGCCCTCCCAGAACAACTCATCACTCCTTCCTTGATGCATTGAATAGTCACAGATCCTAGTCTGTCTTAGGATGGGACTGGGGAGAGAATCAAGGACATGGCACCAAATTTTAAAAGTGAACATTATCACTTGTTAAGAGGCACCCACAGGCAGGGTTCCTCCGGCTGAGGACTTGTAGGGGTTATGACTGAGGACATAAAGGGTGTTTTGATATTCTTCTCTTCAAACCAGAGGGAAAATAGTTCCATCCAGGTTTTTGGCTTCTTAGATAACTATCTAAGAGACAGAAGAAGTCAGGAATATTGTAGTTCAATAACTTCTATTTATGTTTTAAAGAACTACTGATTTAAACAGTCATGTGTTATTTGCATAGAAAGAGACCAAAACTGAAGAAAAATCCCACGTTCACAGGGCTTCGCTGCTGTAGGAACTAAAGCTTTTCTGACAGTTAAACCAAAAGCACATTTACCTAAGAAATTAAGAAAATATTTTTTCTGAGTGAATAAAATAAATCTGAGATTCACCTAAAATATAAAAATCAAAATCCAGAAATGTGTTATCAATCTTTCATAACTGTTAAGAACCATAAGCCAGCAACAGAGCCCTTTCTTCAAACAGACTTGTCTGATAAGAAAGAAAACAGCAGTTCAGCAAGGCTGACACACAAGTTTTGCTTATAGCCTTCTTTAAAGAACATATAAAATGTCATTTACAGCCAGTGGCATTGGTTACGCTACTTTAGTAACTTGAGCTAGACACTGCCACCGTTGCTGATCTTCCTATGGAACCCGCGCGTGGAAGCCGCTAAGGAGTGTTTTCTCTGTTGCAGATCTTTGGCATGATATTCAGCATGGTGCTTTGCTGCGCAATACGAAACTCACGAGATGTGATTTGAAGATACTTCGTCATGAAAATTGCAGTCTAGAGTTTTCATGCTAAATGTCACAAGAGCTATCTCAGCTCACTTTTAATATTCAGGATTTTAGAAGCTAAAATAATTTGCTTTTAACTGTACATTTGCACATGTATGTATGTCTGACTCATTACTGACTTGCCCCTTGAGTGAATGTCACGTGTGGTCTGTGTGTTTCTGGTATATGCATTTCAGTACTGACATCTGTTTCCTGGGAATCCCTAGTTCTTGTGTGCAGATGGAATAACCTATTGAAGTACCAGGAAAAAAGTGATCAAGCTTGGAAAGGCTTGTAAAACCTGGCTGTTCAGGGAATGTGATAATGGCCCATTTCTCAGATTTTAGCCATTTCAGTTAGATCCATAAAGAGAATGCAGGATTTCTAGTTAATGGAAGCAATAAGCTCTTAGAATTGAGGGCTCAAGATTGATGTGTCTGAGTTGAGTGTAAAGGTTTCTTAGAGTATATATATTCTCCCCAGAATACAATAAACCAACAGTTTTAGAACTTAACACATCTGTAAAAGTAAATATAGCATGGAAACTCTCATTTCAAAACACCGTCCTTTCTTAGTATTTAAAAGCAGAAAACCTCTCTCTGGAAAGGGAAGTTACATAGACAGGCATGTGCCCCATAAAAGTGAGTGCTTTTAGGACTAAAGATAGCGACTTTTAAGGGGGAAAATGTTGCTAGACAAAGGCATGTAGATATGTTGCTTTAACCCTCTCTTTCCTGCCTCTGCTTTGAGCTGCTGGAAGCCTCGCCTTTCCAGAAGGGCTTTCATCCCCCTCTCCTCGCTCCTCGTGCTTCTCCAGTTGCAGTGGTAGACAGCAAGAGCGCTGCAGTGGGGGGCGGGCGAACCCCACAGTGGCAGACAGCAAGAGCGCTGCAGTGCGGGACAGGCGAACCCCGCTGGCACTGCTCCTTTGGAATACCTCATAACTTGAGTTTACATAATCTTCCTAATTTTTTGCATTTTCTAATTAATCCATGTAGAGAGTTCTTTATAGATTTAGAATACAGTTTTCATCCTTTAAAATAAATAAATCCCCCATAACATGCAAGATATTATATTATGAGTACCGAGGTCAAACCAAGATAAACACCTCTCCGAGGTGTGTACACACAACAAAGGCAAACTGGCGAATCAAAGATACTTTTCTACATACAGCTCCAGCACATGTATGTTCCTTCTCAGCAAATCCCTGTGGAAAGAAATACTCAGGTTCTTTGGGGCCCTGAGTGGTTGATTTGAAGTGGGAAAACCCAGCCAGGACTCAGCCTCTTGACTGCAAGAGGGAAACCCCAAGTAGGGATCTAAACCGGCAAGTTTGTCATGATTTAGCAGCTGTTAAAGGACTGAAATTACAGATTTTAACGTTGTATTTGACCACACAAAAGTGAGGGTGGGAGGGATTTTGGAAACCCTAAGAGGAGCTTCTGTGCCCACTAGGAACACACAAGACTTTGGGTATGTGTTAAAGTGCTGAGAAACTTACGCAAGGTAGTTTGCTGAAAACACACAGCTGCCCGGATGGCACCGCCCCGAGACCACCCACTGCTTTCTTTCAGCCGTTCTTGCTACTGCTACTAGCTTTAGAGAGAAAAGTGTGAGGGAGTTGACAGCTTAACTGTGTGTGACTCCTCTACCTAAGCAAATTATTAGTTTTTTTTTAAAAAAAAATCACTTCATATTTTTAAACCCCAGTCGTTGACAAACGCAACCTCTAAAGCAAAGAGGCCCATCTTATAATTTCAGTTTATATGTCCGCCTGAGGCCAGAAAGCAGGCTGGAGTGTGTCCTCAGGTTACGCCAGCTCAGAATTATTTTCCGTGAGTTTCATTCTCTATCTGAATGAGCAACTTTAAGGGAAACCGCAGGAACTATAAGTGGGAGAAGAGGAATAATTTTTTACCGTGGAGGAATAAGTCTAGAAACCTGTGCCGTGTGTGATTAGTGCGCCTCCTGTGGCTTAAGCTTTCCAAAGAATGTGTGAGTAAGATTAGAGAATTCCATCTCCGAGTAAAGATGGATATATATCTTTATGTGAATAGATAAAGCTATATCTATAGAGATATATAATCCCTATGTCTTGACCTATACATATCTTAAATACATATCTCTTGAGGATTTATACATATGTAATTTTACTACATGTGTGCCTGTATGAAATTATGGAGATAAATGTTTGTATGCATACACACGCCCATGTGTATACATCTTCAGTTGTTTCTGTATACCTGAACTAATTTGAGATCAAACCCAAACATTTTAAGTTATTTCAAATTAAATTTTCTATGTACTTACTCTGCTTGAGTTCTCTTAAAATCGTAGTGTATCTTCTTATCCACACTCACATTCCTTATTACAGTGTTGTTACCCAGTTTACCCAGTGTAGTAAAAACAGGTGGGTAACCCTCCCATGCTGCCATTGTGAGGTGGGCTCGAAAGCAGTACCCCAACAATTCTAACTACATTCAGTTGTGTTTAACTAACACAAGCTCACCCAAATTGTTTCTCTTTACTCCGGAAAAGCATGGTTATCTGTGGCGTGGCCTGTCAAATGAATCCTGGGTCCACTGTGGTCCTCCTGCAGCAAAAGCCATCTTTTCCCTGTGGCGCCTCTATTGATGTGTGTGGCTGAGAGTGAGACTCGTGGGGAGATGAGGATAATCTCAATAATAATCTATAAAAAACAGCATTTTCTCCCTCCGAAATATGTGTTCCAAATATTGAATGAGTTGCTCTCTTGCCGCTGGTAAAGGTTTCGGTTCCCAGAGGCCAGCAGCCCCTAGGACTCCCCACAGCCCAGCTTTCACGGCCCCGTTGACAAGCTCTTGAACACAAGCCCGTCTCATTTCCCCATCTCCAAGAAAGAGCGATTTATGGTGCTTGAAGGTAGTGCTGAATCAATCAGTGCTTGAATGCATCTGAATCAAATTGGTATTTGTGTGAATTTTAAGAGGGACAATTTCCTTTTTTTTTTTCTTTTCTTATTTTTTTTTTGGTTTGGTTTTTTTTGTTTTGTTTTGTTTTTTTCAAGACAACAGGGTTTCTCTGTGCAGCTTTGGAGCCTATCCTGGAACTAGCTCTTATAGACCAGGCTGACCTTGAACTCACAGAGATACACCTGTCTCTGTCTCCCCAGTGCTGGGATTAAAGGCATGTGCCACCACCACCCAGCTAAGAGTGACAGTTTTCTGTTTTCTTTAAACATGCCCCATTTTTTTCACTATGAAAGAATTTTTTGTATATAGATGTCTTTTAAAGGTGAACATATTGCAGCAATATAAAATGTTATTATTTGGCGTCCTTAAGGGATGCTGCCCACTGGAAACAGGGAAATCATGATGCACACAAGTACCATGCCCTGTGTTTTACAAAGCCGGGCTATATTGGCTTTGGAAAGTGTTGAGTTAATAAGCCAAAAACCTTTTTGTGTTTGGGGTTTTTTCTCGTGTATATTTTATAATTTTTTTTACTCCTACTGAATAGCAAAAAAAAAAATTAAAGAAATTTAAATTACATGTTAATTATTAAATAAGTCAATAATAAACATAAAATACTTACCATACCTAGGAACACTGAATATTAGCGATTATAATTGTGTTTATACTCTGACAAAGAGGTCTGCATAAGTTATTTTCTAAAAATCATGCAAAATTTAAAATAGTTCCACATGATCTCAATTAGCTATATGAACAGTTGTTGAACTCGTTAATATCTTTTGATTTTCCAATTCCGTTTTAATTCAAAAGCTATATAATAGTCACAGCTGGCATCTGTATATTTTTCTCTGGGCCTGCTCCAGCTTGTAATACGCATTCTGATTATTGGGAGTTTTTTGTTTTGTTTTATTTCTTGCTGTTTGAAGTTATCTTATGAATTTAATGGTCCCTTAGCAGATTATGGACAAGACAAGGTGAGATTGGAAAAGTAGGTATGTATTGCCGTAGTGCTGCGATAATCATTAACCAAGAGTGGGCCCACTCAAACTTGGAAAGCGTAGTCCAGAGAAAAATTTTCCTGATGTTGACATCTTTGGCCTGACTCCTGACAAACACTTACACACTGACCACAGTTGAAACAGAAGAAACTGTCTTCAGAGGAAAACACACAAGAAGGCTCTGAAATAGTATGTGAAAACATTCAAGGAGGGCTTGTCCCAAACTAACAAAATAATAAATAAATAGCTCCAGTAAATCTTATTTTTGTCCGAAGGTAAGGAGAAAAGTTTTAAATAGTGAGTTACAAAAGAAAGCTTTAACAAACTAAGCTTTGAAGTATCAAGACTTTAAAGATAACTACGTATCAGAATGAGGAGACAGTGGCTAAGACCAGCCCTAAAGATCCTAACTGATGTGCTCTGCACCTACCCTAACACAAAGTACCCAAGGGAATCTGGATGTGAGGGTGAGAGAGGAAACTGGGGGCTGGGGGACTGGGGACTCGGTAGATTAAGGCACTTGCCACCAAGCCTGACTTCAATTCCTGGAACCCACGTGCGGGAAGGAGAGAACAGACTCCCACAAGTTGTCCTCTGACCTCCACACATGCGCCATTGTATACCTGGGCGTGCGCGCGCGCGCGCACGCGCGCACACGCACACGCGCACACGCACACGCACACACACACACACACATCTTTTAAAAGAGGAGAAATAAACTCTTTGGGGACATGACACTGACGCTCAGAAAAGAACTCTAAGATTGCTGTAAAGGAATCTCTAGAGAAAAGGGAGAGTGCCCAGCTTCAAATAAGATAAGCCACCGCTCATGGTTAAATATCCAGTGAGGGGGCCAGAGGTTCAGTGGTTAAAAGTGCTTGCTGCTCTTGCAGAGGACCTGGGTCTTAGCATCCCCATCAGGGGTTCTCACTGCCTATAGGTCAGAGAGCACCAGCATGCTTACGGTGCAGATAAGCTCATGCAGGCACACACACAAAGAAATAATATTTTTTTAATCCTTAATGAGAACGTGTAGTCTATGAAATCAGAACACTTGTTGCCCCTACAGAGGACCCAAGTTTGGTTCCCTGAATCAACATGATGGCTCACAGCCATCACAACCAGAGTACCCAATGCCTTCTTCTGACCTCTTTGGGTATCAGGCACATACATGGTACACACACATACGTGAAGGCAAAATATAAATTTCTATAAAATGAATAAATCTGAAAATTTTTAATTAGAGTGCTCTATGCTAATAGGTTAAAAATCATGCAACAGTCATTTATTCCTTAACCACAAATTCTCCGAGAGGCCTGTGTTCCTTCAGTAGCAGACATCTGGCATCTAACCCCACTTCTAGCTAAACAGTAAAGAAAAGCTATGGTTTCTTTAAGTGGAAGCCAGCTTCAGAGTACTGAAATAGGTACTTCCTTGGGACATCCAAGGACAAATTACTACAAATTCTAATTTTTTATATGTTCTTCATTTAGCAATGTCCAAAGGACCAACAGGACACTTGAGATTACTGCAGATCTAGATTTTCCTTCAAAGTTTAGAATCTTCATACCTATATCAGCATCGAGAAAATTATCCCCCAAATACAATCCAGATCTACATTACCAGCCAAAAGCTATAACATAAATTTTGAGTCATCTTTGAAAAGGATGATTAAAAAGAAAATGCATATTTAAAAATAGGTGAGGCATTGTGGTCCACACTTACAACCTCAGCACTTGTGAGGCAAGGACAAGAGGACCATAGACTTGAAGCCAGCTGGGCTATGTAAAAGTTCAAGGCCAGCCTAGGCTGAGACTTGGTCTCAAAGAAAAATGAGACAAGGCTGATTTCCTCCTCATTAGGACTAATCGAATGCTGTAGCCCTACAGCCTTGTAAATGCAGGTATGTATTCGTCACCAGGCTCTTTGGAAGCAAAGGGCTCGAGACAAGAGCTGTCTGTGTACTGGGTCACTAGCTAGCCACTGTCACCCTTACTGAAACAGCTTCAAAGAAGAACAGGAGAAGCATACAAATTGTAGTTGTCTGAGAGGAGAATGAGAAGTGAGGAAGTATATGGCTATTATGGTAGACTTTTTTTTAAAAGCCCTAGAATAATAACTTGTGGGGGAAGTAACTAGAATACTGCATGGGGTTGTAGACTTTTTTCTTTTCTTTTCTTTCCTTCCTTCCTTCCCTTCTTTTTGTCTGGGGGGGGGGGAGTGAGATCACAGCTGTTTCCCACCAAAGAGAAGGGTCAAGAAAGAGGAAAAGAACCGTGACACACAGCAAGGGAAGATGCGCACTTGAGGGATGGTATTAGGAATGTCTGAAACTAAAGCCACTGCATCAACCAAGGCTTTTCAAGGGCAAGTGTCAAATGAGAAAGTGGGGCTTTCTTTAAGGGTGGGGGCTTCAGATTATACTCAAATGTAATCAGGGCGTCTCTTTCTCCTCCTTGGCCTGTGTTATTCCTCTCTGACTTGGCTCTTTTTGTCTCAGGCCCTCTGTTTCTAAGAGATGCCAAAGATGCCCCCAGTGGCTTCAAGCTCCTGTTCTATCAATCCCCAAACCAAGCACTCCTTTTCAACAGGTGAAATTGAGTTCCAGGAATGACTCCCACTGGGAGGGATTGCAGTCAGCTCTCTGCCCAGCTCCTAACCTGAATATCATGCCCCCTCCATCAGTCCCACTCAAACACCTTGACTGAAAACTTGAGTCCCGAAAGCAGGCAGGGTAGAAGCGGCATACAGCCACCAGAAGGAGGGGCGTGTATACGGAGTAACTGTGCAGTGGATAAAGAGGAGCTGAAGAAAAGAGACTGACACCAAATTGTCTTATAAGACACACAAGGAGAAATTAACTACAGCAGACAAGGAAGAAACGCATTGAAAAATAGACTAAAGAGGAAGTAACCTCAATATGAGAATTTTTGTGTTCGCTCAGACTTGCTACTCTTGCATTTTAAGGATGGTTTTGTTTTATAAAGGGGATTTTCTATCATTAGAATTTCCTATTACCAGGAAGTGCCATGCTATGCTACTAACTTGCAACACATCCTTGCTGGTACATTCCACTTATCCTCCATGAATGTGGCCATGAAAGACTGCTGCAGCAGGGACCCCAAATCCTTGAGTTTTGAGAGAGCTCTTTATAGTTTATATTTTAGTCAAATGAGAAAGACTTTTTTATTGGAGCACTAAGTTCTTCTGGTGAAAACTGAGTTCTTTGAGCTTTACAGGGAATTTAAGAATCACTACCAGCGATGCTCCAGTGTCTGCCTTTCTCCCATATTATAAGCAATGATTTTTCACCTTCCCATTTCTTTTTTTAAAAAGTTAATTTCTTTTTGTTTTATGTGCATTGGTGTTTTGCCTACATGTATGTCTGTGTGAAGGTGCCAGATTACAGTGATATAGTATTTGTATTTTAATAAATAAAGCTTGCCTGAAGATCAGAGGACAAAGCAGCCACACTAGTCAGCCACACAGGCCAGGGAGTGGTGGCACACACATTTAATCCTAGGACTCAGGAGATAGAGGTAGACGGATTTCTGTGAGTTCGAGGCTCCCCTGCGCTACACTAGATAGATCCAGAAACAGATCCAGGCGGTGGTGGTTCACATCTTTAACTCCAGTGTTTAGGACTCACACACTTTTAATCCCTGCACTAAGGAAGTGGAGACAGAAGTGATATGATTGAGGGGAGGGAGGACTATAAAGGGGAAGAGACAGGAACTCAGTGGAGTGTGGAATCTGAGGATTCGCGAAGACGGGATCTTACCCCTTCGGTCTGAAGATTTGGTAGAGGTAAAAGGTCTCTCTGGTGGTTGGCTGCTTTCTTTTCTGATCTTCAGGTTGAACTCCAATATCTCTCTCTGGGCTTTATTATTCATGCTACGCCAGATTCCCTGGAACTGGACTTAAGACAGTTGTGATCTGCCATGTGGGAGATGTGCTAGGAATTGAACCAAGGTCCTCTGGAAGGACAGCAGAGCTCTATCCTCTGAGCCATCTCTCCAGCACTTCCTCTTCCCATTTCTGAGCCTCTCTATCCATTTTCCTTGTTTTAAACCAAAAGGACACCAAGGTTCCTCAGAACAGAGTTGCCATACCTCCGAGCATGTGGACCCAGCTAGGGAAGTTATTGGATACCTCGATCCCTGAGCTCCACCCTAAGGTTTTTGTGTTTGGGACAGCTTCACCTTCAAGGATAGTTGAACAAAATTCACATGTGCATCCTTCCAAATATACTTCCTTCAGTGAAAGTAAGTCACGCCCACTCTTGTGCCGGTGATAGTACTGGCTGGTTATATCCATGGTCTGAGCTGGCCCTCTCCCTGCAGAGTTGGGAAATTTATTAAAGTAACTCAAAAGATAACATTTCCCAAAGCTGTGCTGTCTATGAGTAGCCTCTGTGAACAACTTGTCCTTGCTAGAGTACAAATCTCTTCACAAAAATCACTTTCAGGATGCTTGAGAATCATTTGTGGCTAATGCCAGATAGGTTTGAACTTTATACATTTTACATGGCCATCAAATGTCTGTACTTGATAAACAGTCTGAAATAATTGGGTGCTCATTATCCGTTGGCATGAGAACTCAAAGTCCCCGCTTTCGATTAGTGGTCAGGCAAGTGTCAGCTTTAGATATTAAGGTAAAAGTACTGTAGCTGTGTGGCTCTTGTATGGAAGGAAGTGCACGGTTATTCCCTCATCCTTGGCAAAACGAGGGTTTGGTACTGGTCATTTGCACCATCCCCCCTGTGGCCCTGGCAGCATGCAGGCATTCACAAGATGCCCAGTTACGCATAACCAATGGCAGCGCAACATATCCACTCTACGTGGCCCTACTGAGAAGTAGTTTTCAACTTCATGGTGACAATTAATGGCTGAATAGAAGACAGTCTTTTTAAGATTGAGTCCACAGAACATCGCTTAAAGTTCAGCTCTTAAGAAGGAGCATCTAAGGAAGGAAAAGAGAAATATCCTGCTACTAAGCCTATAAACCCAAAGCGATGTCTCCCTATAAACAAAGGCTAAGGTTAAAACAACAGAATCCACTCCATTGAATCTCTTAGCCCTCTCCACCCCGACCCTAAAACCTGTGGTGGTTGTGCTAGTGTTTTATGATAACCAAAGCCCCAAAGCATGAGTTGCTTTTGGTATCAATGCTGGAAGGTATCTCTTGTTACTTGAGGGACTATGAAGGATTTAGGCTTCCACATGTAAAATGATCGTGGCCTCTTTTCCAGGCTTTATTAGCTGACCTTCCAGGGTATACCTTTCATAGGTCAGCTGGCCCACCAGAGTAATTAAATTAAAGAGAATGGTGCCCATGCTCTTGGCTGAGCACATGAATGGCAAGGATAATGTTTTCTGTGCCACATTCCATAGGGACCTGTCTCACCAGTGCACTCCAGCCCTGCTGCTGGCCTTTAAAGGGACAGTATTCCTATTCCTCCAGCTTCTAAAGACAGCCCTTTCTTTCTCGAACTCTGCAGTACCTTCTCACTGACTTCTAGGTCAAGACAGACCCCCTGCTGTCTGTAGGCAACATCTCCAGAGCTGGGCTGCAGTGGCAGCTCATGTTCCACTTTCCCTTTTGCCTCCACTCTGCTCTGTATGGAAACCATGACAGCCTCTTTCATGCACCTCTCCTTCTAAAGCTTCCTAAGCTCCCTAATGCCCGTGTGGATGCGCCTATGGATTAAACGGCAGGCAAAACGTATCAATAGTATTTTATTAGTTCTATTCCGGGTAAACACATTTAACCAGATTGCAAGTGGCAGGACTGTTAAAGTTAGGCGGAAAATCCCCCCAGATAGAATGTCTGTGGCTTGGTGCAGTAGTTGGTTTTGACGGCCTCGTGTGTGCAGTCACTGTAGTCGGTGTTACACTTGCCACACTGGCAGCTTATGGCAACAGGGTAGGAGAAATAAGGAGCAACATGGCGTGGGCATCCTGGTATCTCCACAGTTCTGTAGATGAAGTCTCTGTACGTACAAACATCCTGGGAGAGCGCATATTTGGAAAGAAACAGCTTGCCGTTGATATCCTATGGAAAGAAAAGGGATCGTAATGTGATAAACTTCACACTGCTTTAGATAGTGCAATAGAAAGACCATAATTTACTGATATCCCTTTATTTCAGTGATGACCTATAGCGCACTCTTGAACTCTGTTACTCAGTACTAGCTTAACATATCTACACTTAACCCCCCAGAGACCCTGCCCTTCAAAAGACACTTCCTTCTCATTTACCTTTGATCATGAGAACAAAATGAGGTTTCAATAAGTTGGGGGTAGACTATTGCAAATGTATCTGTATTTCTTTTTCCAAACAGAGTCACATTGTTATAAACAATGCTCTTGGCTTCCCAAAGAGACAGCACCATTGGATTTGGAAAATTATGCTATGATTTATCTCACTTTCTAAATATTAACAGATCACTTTCGGCCTATATAATTTGTAGCTAAGAGAGGTACAGCGAACAACATACCCTTGTCATACAATACCCGGCACAGATGGTGGTGTTGATGGCCAGGCAATAGGCGCACTCTCTCCTATCCACGTACATTGTATATTCGGTTGGAATACAAAATGATGCTGCTTGCCCAAATGCAAGAGCAAAAATCACGGAAAGCAGGACGATAGCACTCATGCTGAATCAAAGATAAAAATCACAGAACTCATTACATGGATCCTTTCTGTACATTCAGAGGCATGTTTGTGGAAAGCTTATGCTTCTACACACACACACACACACACACACACACACACACACATACACACACACACACACTCACACAAAGCCAATAATGGGGACGGCTAAAATACACTGAATGGTTACTTAGCTCAGATCTTCTCACATGCACTCAGATGCAGCTATGGCCCTGCACACTCATAGTACAGAAGCTCACATCTTAGAGGTCTTCCCTACAAGTACCACTGAGCTCCCTTGGGAAGTGGCATGCAAGCTTGCAATATCACAACAGAAAGCTGACAACTTTCAGTAAACTAAGTGTGAAATAATTCATTCAATGGAGCTGTAATAAAATGCCTGTTATTATAAAAATTAAATCAACAAATATTCTTTCGGACTGGACTTTTCTAGAATTAAAAGTATCTAAAAATGTTGGTTCAACAGCTTAAAAGATTCATATAATTAAGGATGGAAAGAAACCAAGAAAAATAACCAAACTTTGGTACACCCCACTGTTTGTAATCTTGCCTATAATTCTACTACTGCTAGTCAAGGAAGCTGGAGAAGGTCCTGAAAAATGCAGGTAAAATTATGACTAGTGTTAAGTAATAACATCAGCTAGAAGGCCCTTTCTGAATCCTTAAGGTATTCTTTTAGAGTTGGAAAAAGATTCAAGTTGAAATAAAAAATCATTTTACATAGAAGTTGTACAGCACTCGTTATTTAAAAGACTATAGAGAGCTGAAAATACTAGTTTGACACATTTAGACTAATCCAGCCAAGAAAACAGATCCATCATTACAGTTGTGACTGTATGGGAGGCAGCAAGAGGGCCACCGAGCAGAATGTGTGTCCCGGCCAGCCTGTCTAATGGAGAAGCTATCAGTATCAGCTGAGCCTGTAATGATCTGGGAAATGCTATGGCTTATAATTATTTTGATTCTGTTACTGAAAGAGGATAATCAAATTTCAGACTTTTAGATGTAGGTTGATCACCTCTAAGATTAAGTAGACTTTTTATTTCCTTTTACTAATATTGTTCAACTAACTAGGTATGTTTGGATGTTTTTTTCTTCTCAACTATCATTGTTTTGTGTGCGTGTGTGTGTGTGTGTGTATTTCTCACTGAAGCAATCCTATTAAATTATTATTCACTGGCTGCCAAGATGGTTCGGGGGGTAAAAGCATTTGCTGCTCAAGCCCAGTACCCTGAGTTCAGCCCCCAGAACACACGTGGTGGATGCAGAGAACAGACTCCTTCCTGACCACATGTATGCTGCCGCGCTTCCCCAGCACCCCCACCCCATAGTCCTGGACCCAAAACACCAACAGTTCAGGAGGAATCAAGTATGACACAACTAAAAAATATAGTTTGTTCTAAGTTCTCTAAGAAAGTCCAGGTTGTGACTCGGTTGCCCTCCATTTATTTACATTTGCTGCTTGTGTGTCCAGTGGTAAACTCTGTTCAACAAGGCATTATATATGTGAGCATCCCTTGCAGCATTTTTTAAATTTTGCATTTTACATACGAATTCCTGGTTTTATTTGATGTATTCCGATGTAGGAGCCGAGCTTCACATGTACTGAACCTCATATCCAGCTCTACAGTTAAGATTTTACCCCAGTTGAAACCGTAAGACTTCCTTTCTCAGGAATTCTGATTTTTGCCAGGTGTTTCATAAAACTACAAGCTTCCTGTATACTATTCAGTTAGTTTATTATATTAGTGACACAGATCTAGAGCATTCTCCAAAGGATCTTAAAAATAGCAACCAGGTAAGTGTGATGGAATACTCTCCCTCCCTGCCCACATGGCCCTGGCCATCTTCACAGTTCTCCGGTGGGTTCCCCCACAGCAAACAGCTCGTAGCTCTGCAGCTCTACGTGGAACACCATGTCAGTAACCTATAATCTGAATATTGGCTCAGAACCTAAGGAGCAGAAATTTCCCATGGGCTGTAAGAAACTGATGAAAATATTTAATCTCATTTATTAACCTGCTAGATAAAAACAGGAACACATGTGACCCTTTAAAAATTGTAAGATAGGGCTGCAAAAATGGCCCAGTGGCTAAGATCAAGTACATCTCTTGTAAAGAACCTGAGTACAACTCTCACACCCAGATCAGGCAACTCACAACCCCTTGTAACTCCAGCTCCAGGGGATTGATGTCTCCGGTCTACACAGACACCCTCATACACAGTACGCATGTGCACACATAATTTTAAAAATCTCTTCTAAAATAGTGACACTTGTAAGACTCCCTTTTGGGTTTCTTGGTTTTGTTTTTTTTTTCGGTTGTTGGGGTGGGTTGTTTGTTTTTGTTTTTGTTTTTTTTTTGGGGGGGGTGGTTAATTTTTGAGACAGGGTTTCTCTTTTTAGTCCTGGCTGTTCTGGAACTCACTCTGTAGACCAGACTGATCTAAAACTCAGAAATCTACCTGCCTTTGCCTCCCGAGTGTTGGGATTAAAGGCGTGCGCCGCTACTGCCCAGCAAGACTCCATATTATAAATATAGAAGTTTAAGATAACAAAAGCAAAGCATAAAAAGACCAGATCACCAGTCATGGTGCTCATATAATGCTGCAAAGATAAAGAATGTGAATGATTCTGTATCTTTTCTTCTTTATTATAAATAGTAAAACTTTATTCACTTAACTTTCCTGTACCTCAATTTCCTTGTCTATAAAAGAAATGTTAAATATCAAAAGGTTACCAGGAAAATCTTCACAGCATGAATAATCTGTGATTCTGTGTTAAATTAGAATTAGTAATTGTTCTCATAAAAATAAAATAATGCATGTGACTCCTATATAAGAAAATTTCCTTAGCTACATAGCACTATATAAACCAGTGCTAATACCTTCCTTTTCTCAGCACTTTCCCTGTGTTCATTCCCTTAACGTTTTCTCCATATTTTCTTTCTGCTTTTATTATTTGCATTATGAAACACATTTCTCTCTGCTCTGCTAATATCTATTACCTCTCTTTTCTACTTGAAGTCATTACTTACTGTACAATGAAAAGAATCAATTTCTCTACTTCTGAGCAACCCCAGAGTACTTTTTCACTAAAGCAGAGTACTTTTTCAGAAAGAAAAATGTATTATATTAATAAGATGTGTGTGTTGTATACTAGTCAAGAGAAATTTGCTATTAAATAGCTAAAAAGATCTTGTTACATGGAGTGTCTCTGATGGTAGTGAAAACACTGTTACCCATGTACACACTCCAAAGTGAATTAACTCTAAAACTCTCCCAAACACATTTTCATCAAAGATGGCCATTAGTAATTGTGAGGATTAAATGCACAGGTTATTCTAGTGCTAAACACATTTAGGTCGACCTGTGAGCGGGAGAAGTTCTTGCACCCTGTTCACTCTCCACCAGCGAACTGGCGGACTGTTTGCATCCTTAGTCAGCGCGGTCTCACCTCATCTGCCGATGTGGGCTCACTCCCTTCACCCACTCCTGCATCGTCTGGAACAATAACTAAAAACTGTAGAGCCTATCAGTTCTGTCTCAACATTTGCAATTTTTAATGAAATGCTACACTGTTAAAATAAAATGAAGTGATAATAAAAGCATCTTGTTTGCAGGGCCCGCTCAGGGTAGACACCTACCTTTCTTTGCATTGGCGAGTGGATGCTGTGATGGCCCAGACTCTGTTCATTTTATACCCTTCAGGATAAGTCCCCTCTGATCTTCTTGTTTATATAACTGCATTTGAATTGCTGCTTTCTTATCTGAAAATCATCTATTGAAAATTCATACTGAACCCCAAATAAAACTTGCTTATACAAACAGGTTCACAATATTCTCCCCCGGAAACTCTGACATTATTATAGCATGAATCTTCCTCTCTCTTATTTCAAATGTATTGTTGGTTAATATTTGTTAATGTTAATTACTGATATTAATATCTGTTAATATTAATAAAGAATAGAGCATAGAATTAGGAGAAATGGTGAAAAACTCCTGAGAATGCAAATTTATCTGGGGCTTAAGGGCTCTAAATGTCACCTATTCATGTAGAGATATATACATAAAATTATTCCTCTATAAAGCAAAGGTAACTTCTTTCTGGAAATCTAGGTCAATTGACCCATGTATGACAACAAAAATATTTTAGTTTAAAATGTTTTGTTTTGTTTTTTCTGGACTTTACAGGATGTTAATATAACTTACAATGTGAAAGGTTTCTTTGAGTAACATGGCTAAATCTGGCAGGATGTCAAACTGACCTGAGATCAAATTCTGGAGTGGTCATTAGCTAGCAATATCATTGCATTCATGAGTTGTGCTTATTTCAGGTTCCTCACCTTTCAAAAGGAACATTGGTGTGTGTTTAATCCTAAACTCAGGAAGCGAGGGATGGAGACTTCAAGGCCTGAATGGAATATATAGCATCATCATGTCTCAGAAAATAATTAATATCACTGTTTATATAAGTGACACATAGCAAGGACTCCATAAGAAATAGTTAATTTATAATAACACAAAAATATTTGTTTGATAAAAATTTAGCCAATATAGTCATTGAATGTGCAAATGGTTGGTCAAGTGTGAGGTTATTACTCAACATTTGGAACTAATCTATACTTTTTCTCAATCTCTATACCTATATATTAGTTTTACTCATTTAATCCACTTTTTCCACACTGTAACTAAAGTATCATGCCCCAAACTTGCACTTGGCATTTCCAATTGGCCCTTGGGAAAGAAAAAAAAAAACATCCAGGCTTAGTATCTCTTTTAAAGCCCCTCATGGTCTATTCTGGCTCTCTGATCTGATCTTCACCATCTCCTGGTCCTCGAGCCACAGCCTTTCTCTGCTTCCTGTGGTCTTAGACAAGCTGAACTGAGTTTCTCAAGTTGGTTCTATTTCCCTTGGGAATCTTTTGTTCCCTCTGCTGGAACACCTGCCCAGGACTTCATCCCATGTCCCGTCTCAGATATCTCCTGTTCCTCTCTCATGGCTCATCTGAGAAACACCACTCTTGCAAACCCTTCTCTAATTCTCCACGGCTTTTCTAATGATTAGGGGTTTTAAGGGAATTAAATATATAGAACCCCTGGCATATGGTAGATACTGAATAAAATCCTAAATATTCTTAGGGGTTATTGAAAATCCCATTTGTCTTCACTTACTTTAACCTTTATTATTAATGTAAGTGACAGACAAAATATGATTTCTGGTATAGATGAGTCTCCCCCAAAGGATGATGGCAAAGTCAAGGTAGAGTCAAGGAAAAACTTTAGGGAAAATATGTTTAACAGAGTTAACTGAACAAAGAAAGACTTGCAAATCAAACAGGGCTCTGAAAGGAAACAGAAGAACTCACAACACAAGTCAGGCAGCATCTGTGGGCAGAGAGCAGAGGAGGCACAGAAATAGTCTGACTGGATGCTGCTCAGGGTGTGGCTTACAGGAGTGTGTTCTGATCAGTTGACTGCTCATGATGGATTAGGCTTGATTTCTATGATTGACTAAGACAGCTATTCGCCACAACTGTACTACATTGCATCTTTAGCTAGTTTACATACTATATTTGGTTGCAGTTCATTACGCAGGCACTCGGTCTGGAGATGTTCACAGACAACACACAATTTAACGGATATAAAACAAGAACAGCTAGTCCAGGTATGCACATATTCTGAATACACACTATTACCATCATAATCTCTAGTCTATAATCATAACCCATGCCTTCTACTAAAAACATAGCGAACTATTCAGTGCTAATAAAACCATGGCTATTGGAGGGGAGTCTATAACCATTAAACTCCTAAACCAGCACAATCCCTAACAGCAACCTAAACATCTGTCCTTATACCCCCAGATAACTATCATCTTCACCCCTCATCAAGGAAACTTCTCTTTGCAACAGAGAGAAAACCACACCCAATCAAAATGCAGAGTCGTAGAGCCTGGTCCCAGTAGGTACATCTACAAACACTCTTTTACCTGAGGTTCAGAGAACACTGTAGAAGAGGCAGCAGAAAGATTTTAAGAGCCAGAGAATCAGGG